ACGGTGCTTTTCTACAGATTACTTTATTACTGCACTGGTAAGGTAAAATTAGGCCGATTAATAAGATGTGAAGTGCTTTGTAACTTTGACCCGCTTGACTGAATAGACAACGAACAATGAAGAAAGAGTTTTATCTGGGCTGCTTCGCTGCCAGCTGCTCCCCCGGGACCCAAAAGTGGCGTAGGCTATAGCCTGTACTTCAACATCAACGAAAGTGCTCGATATATGCTATATTGAACCAATAAACTAACACAAACTTACTGTATCACTATAACATGATGATGATGATGATGATGGTGATAAAAAATGCATAGCGTTCCGCTGTTCATTATAATATAAAAACAGCATTAAACAAACCATCATGCTCTTACTTTGAAATCATGCGGAAATGTCGTCATCAGCGGGCCATCTCGTGGTTTCCGAAAATAACCGATTGACACGAGTAGATTTTAGCCGAGACCGGCGGAAAATATGTCTCAAAATTCTGTGTGTGTAAAAAGACGATCCACAAGCAGAAATGTGAGATCCACGAGCAGAGATTTGAGATCCGCAAGCGCATTTTTGGTCGACAAATACAAAATGGATTCACAAATGCCGGATCGAAAGTTGTAAATGTTGTAAATGATTTTTATGTTCACACAAATAATTATGAGACATATCTATGCCCATAAACGAGTAACACTGGTGCGCCGCATTTGCTCTTCAGATGAGGCTCCCTCCGCAAAATGAAGCACCCTCCGCAGTCTGCGTGATCTGCCTGGGGGCGGCCCTGCGAGTAAAGTAACGAGTAAAGTAACGCGTAGAGAGTATCGAAGTAAAGTAATATATTACTTTTTTTGAGTAACGACCCCATCTCTGAGTATATTGACGAAAAAGAGTATCATAGGGGACCTTTAAAGTATGCTCATTGCTTGTATTTGATATCACATAACCGTCACTCACTACCTCCCCCTCCTTTCCAGACTCCCAGTCCTCCCCTATGGTCCGTGGTGGTCTGCTGGGGAGCGTCAGGGTGCCTCTGAGCTCGGCCACCTGCATGTCCTGGGGTGGAGCCCACTACCGCACTTTTGACAGGAAGCACTTCCACTTCCAGGGCAGCTGCACCTACCTCATGGCCGCGTCTACTGATGGCACCTGGGCAGTCTACATCAGTACAGCCTGTGACGGCAGAGGACACTGCAGTAAGGTGTGAAACATGGCCATTTAACATCGTTCATGGAAGTGATGAAACAGTATATCCTTGTTCTTTTAAGACTTTTCCAACCACCTGATTGTAGTGGCAATGACATTGGACGAGTTTACCTGGGTGCCCATAGAAGACATGTTTGAATTTTTTTGTGCACATGTACATAAATGTTGATGAGTATGTGTCCCTCTGCTTTCAGGCTCTGAGGATGATGATGGGTCTGGATTTGGTTTCAATTCATCACAAGAACTTAACGCTGAACAACCTTCCTGTTGCAAATGGAGAGCCACTCTTCCAAAATGGTAAAGTATTTTTTGAGCTGTCACTAAAGCCCTCTCTTAGTCTCATTTGTGTCTGTCATTATTAACCAGGCAACATGGTAAAATGGTCATGTTAAATCCTGACACATCAGTACCTGCACTGGAGCAACAAAAACACATTTTATTACACAGCCTATTGAAAGAAGACTGATAAATCTAGGTCTGTGTATGTGCCTTGCATCTACTTGTCTTTCAGTACAAGAAGATCCTTTAAATAACAATTTAACATAATACCATCATCATTCAAGAGTATTCTGTAAAATACTACTGTATTATAACAGTTTGTTTCTATAGTTTGCATACAATTGTTGACTGTATTTGTAATAATAAGCTTATTTATTACATGATCTCGTTATTCCTCTTGAGTCCATTGACAAGTAATTTGATCTTACATACTGGGTAACAGCTTTCTTTATCTACAAATACTGTCAACGACTTTATAACAACGCAACAATTTTGTACAGCAAAGTAGAAATGTACAATGGTTCTACTTCCTACAGGAGTGAGTGTTCATTGGCTGGGGGACTTTGTGTTTGTGGAGAGCGGCCTGGGAGTGAGAGTAAAGTTTGACCTGACCAACACGGTGTATCTGACAGTGACCGCCGAGCACCTGGCCGTCACCAGGGGGCTCTGTGGAGTCTACAACAACAACGCTGACGGTGCGTGCAATAGATACAATCTCCAACTAATGTATTTTCATAATGTGAATCACACACACATCCCAGGGTCACAATGTAGTCAAGTAATATTTTTTTACTGTTTTTTACTGTTTCCGACCTGCAGGGTTATTTCTATACCTGTATCTGTATCTTGTTTTTTGGTAACCCCAACTCTTTTAACTTTTAATGCGTAACCTACTTGTGTCTTGGTGCCATAGATGATTTCACCACAATGGGTGGAACTGTGTCCCAGTACGCCGCCAGCTTCGGCAACTCCTGGAAAGTTCCTGACCAGCAGAATGAAGTACTGCACTGAATGCATTGAATGAGTATTTCACTTTTTTGCAACATTATAACTTTTTGTTATGAGTTTTATTTTTTAAGGAGAAATCTGTGCTCACTGAACACACACTGATGTTGAAAAAAAAACGAGCTAAAAATTCTGCTCCTGGAGATAAATGGCTTGAGGAGCTGTTTTGGTATAAATGCAGAGTTGTGTGTGTACTGTACTCAACAAGAATGGTAACGTGTATTAATGAGATTCACCCTCATTAATTGAGCCCCCTCTGTGTCCCTTGCTTCCCTCAGGATTGCAGTGATGCGGCAGAGCTTGGCCACAGCTGTGATGTCTCAGGAGACCCTGCCATACGCAGGCGGGCAGAGTCAGTGTGTCACCAACTGCTGGAAACCCCCTTCACACACTGCCATCCCCGGGTCAGACACACATACTTTATTTCATAGTTGTCCTTTTCGTTATCAATAGATGCTTTTATCAAATGTCTTTGAAAGCCAAGTCTGCAATGGGCTGTAATTCAAAATTCTCCTAAAGGTAAATAATTTACCAAGTGCCAATTGTTAGAGCAGTTCCAAGAAATAGGTTGGATTGGTTCGAGTCATCGGGCTGTCGTAAAGAGAACTTAACTGTAATGACTACATGGGAAGTAACAGCTTATATCATTTGCAGAATAAATGGTTTTAGTTCAACCTATACATTACCCGAAAGTACTTTTGAATTCTCTTTCTGAAACTCACCATTAATGAGAAGGTGTACTATCTCACTGGTTAATCATTTATGAAGATATGGCTATTTTCCAAAGCTTACGTCTATCTGACTTATTTGCCAACAATAATGGTTAATAATTATAAAACATTGCAGTGCATAATAAACGTGTTAGCATATCTTGTTCATGTATTTTGTAAAGATTGTCCCTGCTTGTTCTGTTTATCCATCCATCCATCTTCTCCCGCTTATCCGTGGTCGGGTCGCGGAGGTAGCAGTTCCAGCAGAGAGCCCCAAACTTTCTTTTCCCTGGCCACATCAACCAGCTCTGACTGGGGGATCCCAAGGCGCTCCCAGGCCAGCGAAGAGATATAATCCCTCCATCTGGTTCTAGGTCTACCCCTTGGTCTCTTCCCAGCTGGACGTGCCTGGAACACCTCCCTAGGGAGGCGCCCAGGTGGCTACAACTAGGTGCCCGAACCACCTCAACTGGCTCCTTTCGACGCGAAGGAGGAGCGGTTCAACTCCGAGTCCCTCCCGGATGACCGAACTTCTCACCTTATCCCTAAGGGAGACACCAGCCACCCTGCGGAGAAAACCCATCTCGGCCGCTTGTACCCGCGATCTCGTTCTTTCGGTCATGACCCATCCTTCATGACCATAGGTGAGGGTAGGAACGAAAATGGCGCGGTAGACAGAGAGCTTTGCCTTCTGGCTCAGCTCCCTTTTCGTCACAACGGTGCGGTAAAGAGACTGCAGTACCGCTGCCCGCTGCTCCGATTCCTCCGACCATCTCACGCTCCATTGTTCCTCACTCCGAGAACGAAGACCCGAGATACCTTGAACTCCTTCACTGGGGTAGGACACTCATTCCCTAAACTTTGAGTGGACAGTCCATCGGTTTTCCCTGCTGAGAACCCATGGCCTCAGATTTGGGAGGTGCTGATCCTCATCCCAGCCGCTTCACACTCGGTTGCCGAACCGATCCAGTGGAGTGCCTGAAAGGTCGCAGACACGATGAAGCCATCAGACCACATCAATCTGCAAAAAGCAGTGGTGCAATCCTTAGTCCACCGAACTGCAGAACCCCTCCCCCACGACTACGCCTCCGAAATCCGGATCCATGTATATTAGCAAACAGGGATTGGTTGACCAAAGCCGCAGCCCTGGCGGGAAGGCCACCCTCACCCTGAAATGGGTCCGATCTTACTTGCCGAGACCGCCGGACACAGCTCCTCGCTTGTTTGGAAGTACAGAAGATTTGGATGGCCCTGAGTTAGCACACCTTACCCATACTCCCGCAGCACCCTCCCACAGTTGCTCCCTGGGAAACCCGGTCATACGCCTTCTCCAAGGTCTACCAAAATACCCCATGTTAGACTGGATGAGCGTACTCCCAGCCCCCTCCAGGATCCTTGCCGAGGTAAAAAAGCTGTTCCGTCGTTCCCACGACCAAGGAACGGAATCCGCATTGTTCCTCCTCAATCTGAGGTCGACAATCGGCCTGACCTCCTTTTCGGTACCTTAGAGTAAACTTTTCCCGGGGAAGGCTGAAGTAGTGTGATGCCTTCCTCTGTAATTGGCACACACCCTCTGATCCCCCTTTTTAAAGAAGGGAAACCACCACCGCCGGTTGCCACTCCTTCGGCTACTGTATCCGCTTCCACGCAACGGTTGATGGGACATGTCAACTCTGATGACAGTCCCTCAACACCCAGAGCCT